ATGAAGGGTTTGACAGCAAAGTTCGTTTCAGAATTGATGACTTTTCACCAAAAAAAGACTGAAAAACACGTTTTTGTAGTATACAAAAGCGAAAAAAATATATAGTTTAAAAAACTGAAAAACACGTTTTCAAAGAACATCGAACTGGAAAGTTAAAAATAATAATTATCAAATATGCTTGTAACAATAACGAACGAAAAATACTAGTATATCAGTATTCGAGGGGCCCCTGATATACAAAAAATATGGCAAATATGGCAAGGTTAGTGAAGAATAAATCACCATGGGCACAAATGCTATTGAAATTTGTGCTTAAAACATATATTGGGGAATTGAGCATAATGTTAGTTCTTGCTCTGAGAGGTCTAGAAATGAATTAGAATTGCGAAACTGGCCGTGTTACATTGAAGTTAATTCGTTCAAGAACTTTAGGACAGTCAAATCTCTCAAGGAATACACTAGCTAGAACCAGAACTTTCTCGAACCAACGCGGTAATTCCAAATATTTAATTACGCCTAATGCCACGTGGCGGGTAGCTAGCGGGTAGCATAGTACCACTACTCGCCACTAGATGTTGTTAAGTGTCACAATACACAATAATAATTGAAATGCAAAAATAGCGTAAGTTTGCTTAAGTCACGCACTTTGCGACTATCCTAGTCTAGAAATATAGTTAAGGGCAGAAATTGGCGCTTGGAACAAACTGAAAAAATCATTATGGCCCGAATGCTTCAAAGTTTGGAGACCCCTGCTCTAAACTGAAAAGTTCCAAACGTTCATATAAGACATAATTACTGATACCTCTCTCAGGGTACGAACCATTTATTCTAAAAATTAGAAGTTTACGAAACTTTCTTCGAACTCTTTCAATAGCTATGTTATGAATCTCATAGAATGAACTTCAGACGATACTTGCATATTCTATCTTCGAACGTACGTAGGTGAAATATAACAGCCTCATGGCTTTAATATTATGAAAGTTTCTGCAGTTTCTAACAATAAAACAATAAGCTCTGAAAAATTCTGAAACTTTTTGTGAAATATGTCTACCAAATGTTACTTTATGATCGAATATTACTATACTATTATTTAAAAAAAAATATAATTTTTTCAAGTGAACAAATACATGTAAAATGAGTTCGAAATATATCAAGGAGGTTAAGTACAGTGGCATCTACCCGCGAATAGATCAAGCAATAATGTCGATAATTCTGAAGTTACAAACAAACAAATATTTATACATACCTACATACATACATACATACAGGTGACGCTAATAGACGCTAATAGAATCGCTCAAGAATTGTTGAATAACGTCAACGATGATCCAGATTCGCTTAATTGGGTGATAATTGGTGACGAATCATAGGTATATCGTTATGACATCGACACCAAAGTTCAAACGTCCAACTGAAAAAGCCCAGAATCATATTTCAAGGTTTTGCTAAGCATTTTCTTTGATTAGCGTGGCGTACATCATCAGGAATTTTTGTCACATGGTCGTACGGTCGATAAGTAGTGTTTTGAAATTATAAGCCGCTTGCGACAAGCAATTCGAAGAAAATGTCAGGTAATCATGGCTTTTTTATCTCGATAAAGCACCTGCTCAGTCGTTATTTCTTGTTTTTATTTTTTTTACCAAAAAAAAACACCGTTACCATGCATCTGCCACCGTATTCACCAGATTTGTTCCCCTGTTTTCTGTTCCCTAAATTGGAGAGACCTATGGCGTTTTTGCGTCGATTGAAGGAAGCTCAAGGATATACCAAAAAACGAAAAAGTGCATATCAGAACTGTATCGGAGATTGAAAAAAACGCTGGTAGGTACAAGTGTATCATATCTTTGAAGGAGGCAAAATAGTAGGTATTTGATGAATGAATGAATATTTTTTGAGAACAAAAATTACTTTAATTTTTAGACCTGAAAGATTCTTCGTCGAAATGAAAATCAAGGAGTCTAAATGATTTTTTTCTGAATGCCCTGTTGGTCATCTGTATCCAAAGAAGTGTTTTTAAAATCCAGCAAATATAACTGATCCTGCATTCCTACCTCGCAGATGCAATCAAACTTTGATCGATAACAGAATCCCAATCTCGAACATTTCGAACCAATCGCATTGAATACGTCAACACAAGCGGGTACTCATGAAGGACACTTATTTCTCGTCGTATTTTTCTTTGTGTGCAGATTGCAATAAACATGTCAGTATGTCTTTTGTTTTGTACGATTGCAGGCAAGCGCTATGTCGATTTCCGCGGATATACGACCAACACTTGCGGAATAAAAATTACTTGGCGACAGTTACATGGTTTATCGGAATTGCGGTTTCTACGAGCAAAAAGTGAAGGATAATTCAACACAGTGTCGAAATAAAGGATACGTTCATCGATTATTTCGACATTTGTGATTTCGTGTGGTATTCAAACACTAGCAGTAGACACACAGAAAGTCTGTCTACTTAGATTCAATTCAGCAGTAAAAGCTGAGCTAGCACAAATAAAACCGAAGCGAATCCTGCCATCTAGGGCTGACCAAATCAAATCCCTTCAGTCTGACTCATTCGATGTTGTAATCATTGGTGGAGGTGCTACTGGTGCTGGATGTGCCTTAGATGCAGCAACTAGAGGTTTGAAAACTGCCCTTATAGAAGCCGACGGCTTTTCTAGTGGTACATCAAGTCGAAGCATAAAACTGATCCATGGTGGGGTAAGGTATCTCCAGAAGGCAATCATGCAACTAGACTTCGAACAATAAAGAATGGTGAAAGAAGCTTTGCATTTAGATTGCAACAGACTGTTCGTTGACACTGGGAGTCACAGCATTCTCGAAATGACCTCTGACTTTATGCCTCCAACTGTCAACTACGAACTACTTTATGAAGTACTGTTCCCAAGAAGAGAGGACTGGATTCTCCGGGAAAAAGAAATAACAAAAGCAGATAGTTGTTGATTCACAGATGGATCAAAAACACCTTTCGATTCTGGTGCAGGTGTTTTCATTCGCACACCCAGGCGGAGATATCAACCTGTCTAGGAACCTATGCGACTGTATTTCAAGCGAAAATTTGCGCTATTGATTTGTGTGCGGAGAGATTGGAAGAATCCAATCTCATACACAAGTCAATAAAAATATTCTCGGAAAGTCAAGCGACGTTGCTCTTGGCTCCAACCAAGCAACATCTAAATTGATAGTAAATTACCAAACATGAATCTCCTAGATAGGAATACTCAACAGATCGTCTCTGGTCTAGATTCCTGGCCATACTGTCCTGGAAGATGCTGTCTCTTGAAACGAGGGTGCGGCAAGCAGCTGCTTTGGACCAGAACCTGTCATTGGCATCGCTTTAGGCTTGCAATGGATCTCGTTATAATTCCATATCCTGTGATCGGATCAATTTCGATGTCTATGAACTTGAAATATCAAAAGATGGAATTCTGAATACTGAGTGTTCTTGTGTTAAAATATTGAAGTGAGGTTGGAATATCTTTCAATTCATATATTTACTCAAATGAATCTGAATCATTTCATGATTATTTTCTATATTTGAACAAGTCGAAGCATAAAACTGATCCGTGGTGGGGTAAGGTATCTCCAGAAGGCAATCATGAAACTAGACTTCGAACAATATAGAATGGTGAAAGAAGCTTTGCATTTAGAGTGCAACAGACTGTTCGTTGACACTGGGAGTCACAGCATTCTCGAAATGACCTCTGACTTTATGCCTCCAACTGTCAACTACGAACTACTTTATGAAGTACTGTTCCCAAGAAGAGAGGACTGGATTCTCCGGGAAAAGGAAATAACAAAAGCAGATAGTTGTTGATTCACAGATGGATCAAAAACACCTTTCGGTTCTGGTGCAGGTGTTTTCATTCGCACACCCAGGTGGAGCTATCAACCTGTCTAGGAACCTATGCGACTGTATTTCAAGTGAAAATTTGCGCTATTGATTTGTGTGCGGAGAGATTGGAAGAATCCAATCTCATTCACAAGTCAATAAAAATATTCTCGGAAAGTCAAGCGACGTTGGAGGCTCTTGGCTCCAACCAAGCAACATCTAAATTGATAGTAAATTACCAAACATGAATCTCCTAGATAGAAATACTTAACAGATTTTCTCTGGTCTAGATTCCTGGCCATACTGGCCTGGAAGATGCTGTCTCTTGAAACGAGGGTGCGGCAAGCAGCTGCTTTGGACCAGAACCTGTCATTGGCATCGCTTTAGGCTTGCAATGGATCTCGTTATCTCAGAGTTTTACGGGGTTGTAGGAGCAATTGAAACAGCTGTGGATCCGGCCGACTTGGCCAATTTATTTGAGTGGTCAAAAGTGTTATCAGATATGATACCAACGAGAGTACGGGAGTTTGACAGAGCTGAAACTATATGAACGGTAATATGCTGAAATACATACCAACCTATTATTCTGGATTACTCCCAATGACATTCAAAATAACTTTAGCTGTTACGAAATGTAATAATTGGAAAAGTGTCAATGACAACGACTTTTTTCCCACTGCAAAACCTGAGTTTCATTTCGCATGAAATAAACGGTATTACAAAAAAAGGTAGATGGTGTTTTTATAGTCCTTCCGGTGAAGTGATCCGGATCCATGTCAAACGTAGTTTCTTTGCCAATACTGACCGTTTATGTATGCAGCCAACAATACCACGGGCTGAATGCAAAGTGCCTATTATTGAATGCAAAACAACAATGGCACAATGGCACCAATTATAACACAACAAATGATTTCCGTAAATACGAAAGACATTTTAAGAAAGAACAGTGGTTTCGTTTGGCTTTGCCAAACAAAGACTGAACACCTGGATGGCAAGAAGATTTATGGACTTTTGGCAGAATCTGTCATTTTATTCATCATATGCAGAGACTCGGAATGTCGGAAGAGAGTGTGTGTCGCCTCTGTTTGGAAAATGATGAAACAGCAGAGCATATACTTCGTGCCTGCCCGCTGGGGACCGAATCAGCTTTTTAGAGTAGGATGACAGCGAAACAACTCAAGCTTGCCCCTCAGAAGTCAGAGGTAGTACTGCTGGCAGCAGGCAGAAAACTGAAAAGTAACACAATTGAATTGAAGGAAACGAACATCCGTAGCCAAGAATCTGTCAAATACCTGGGAATCCACATGGATCAAAATATGAAAATGGGAGCTCATGTTAGAAAAATAGCAGAGAAAGCGGGAAAAACCATAAGCAACACAAGCAGGATAATGCCCAACATTGGGGGTCCTCGAGAAGGTAGCAGAAGAATGATATGCTCAGTCGCCCAGTCGATCATGCGCAACGATATGGAAAAGAGCCATGGAAAAAAGGTATATAGGAATGTATTACTTAGTGTTCAACGGAGAGCAGCCATAAAAATAGCGTGTGCATATAAAACAACATCAACTAAAGCTCTGCTGATGATTGCAAGAACCCCCCTAATAGATCTGCTGGCGGAAGAGAGAACAATGGTACAAAACAACGTATCAAAAGGGTTAGCAAGGTTACAAATTATGGAAAAATGGCAACAATTTTGGGAGATAGACGATGGAAAGGCCAACTGGACAAAAAGATAGATGAGAGATATAGAACCATGGATGAACAGAAAAAGGGGAGAAGTGAATTACTTTCTCACACAAGTACTAACGGGGCATGGGTGTTTTCAGGCGTATCTGTTCAGGTTTGAAGTGAGTGACACAGAAGAGTGCAAGTATTGCGGGATGATATAGATACGGTAGAACATACAATCGTTGAATGCTAACGTTGGGAAGAACAGAGACGAAACGCAGAAATGACGACAGGAGAATTAACACCGGAAAACGTAATAGGGAAGATGCTCAAAAGTATAGGAAAATGGGAAGCTGTTAGTAAACTCTCCAAGACCATCTCAAGAAAGAAAAGAAAACTAGATGAATAATAATGAAGAACTGAAGAGAAAGGAAGAGCCCTGAACCATCACTACAGTCTGCTATTCCGAAGTAATACCCGAGGGCGGTTCCAGAGTAGCCTGCTTGACTCATGAGTGGGTTTTTAGTCGGAGAAAATCCGATACTATCTGGTCACAGGACGACCAGGTGTCTTTTGAAGATTTTTCCACTCGGCGAAAAAAAAAAATCCTAACCTACTGAGAAGAGACATTTCAAGCAAATTCATTACACAAAATTATTCGACAAGTGACTGAAAAAAAAAATATTTTGTGTATTACTATTTACAATCTGTTTTAAAATCTGTTTTTCCGGTAATCAGCTGTCGCCCCATACGAACGACAACTCGAGATAAGGACTAACGAGGTCTCACCTTTAAACGTGTGTTTCTCAACACTCAAGTAACACTTTATTGGGAAATTCTCACTGAAAAGTTTTCGAAACAACAACACGTGTTTCGCTATACAATAGCTTTCTCAAGCATTTTCATACTGACTAAATTATGTTAATGACACATTCGTGGTATGGAAAGATGGTGAAAAAACACTCAAAAATTTTCTATTATATTTCAACTCTCTCGACCCAAAAATCCAATTCAGAATGGAACGAAAAATGGTACATTGAGACACAGAAAGTACATTGAACCAACACACACAGATAGGTACCTGACAAAAAAAAAATGATAACCACCAGCCTCAACAAAAGAGAGAGTTAATCAAAAAGTTGTTTGAGAGAGCACGACGTATCTGTTAACCTGAACGCTAAAGTAACTCCAGCTGGGCTGGTCGAAGAAAAAGCTTTGCTTCCTTATGTTGAAAATGTTACAAACCGGATTGGGAGAATCTTATCAACACGCGACGTGAAACCAATATTTATGTCAACAAAAACCATCAGACCTAGTCGAAGGTCAGCTGTGGACCCCAGAGAACCTTCAGTAAACCCTGGGGTATACCGGATACCTTATAGTTGCAGGTCAGTCTACATTGGAACCACGAAATGAAGTGTAGGTACCGTCTCTCTGAACACAAGAGAAACTTGATAGTTCGAACTGGAACCTCTGGCGAAAAATGAATCTATTGAAAACGCTTAACCAGAACAAAAATTACGGTCTCTCAACGCACAGCGGAACGCGTGTCGAGAGACCGTAATTTTTCTTCTGGTGTTGGGAAAGTGTTTTCGATAGATACAATAGAAACTGTCGACTCGAACAAATCAGCTGTAGTCGCACATGCTCTCAACGAAGAAGGCACCAACATTATATCATTAAAATCTTAAGAAATTTCATACACGAAGCATAAGACAGCGATGTTCATTACAGAGTTGCTGAATTTTCATAAAAACAAACCGTCGCATGAGCATTGCTCAGGTATTGTCGAATGACGTCAACAGCGATCCAGATTATTTTGAAAGAGTCATAACTGATGAAGAATTATGGGTTTATGATTATGACATCGAATCCAAAGTCCAATCGTCCTAATGGAAAAGTTCAAGACCAAAAATTGCATACCAAGTATGTCTTAGACTTTCGGTATGTCTATGACATATCGAAAAGTGCATAGCATAGCAGAAGAACTACTATGAAGGGATAAAAATCAATTTCTGATAAATGAACGGATATATTTTGGAAAAAATCAAAATTAACCTTATTTTCTCAACGGACAGAAGAAAAATGTGATGTTAATCAGAAACTTCTCATACATAATCAACTTGTCTATCATCAAAAAATCATATGACGATTATTTTTGTAACTGAATCTGCTGAAAATCTACTCTAACAGGGATGAATGTTGTGTGGGTTTCTTCGTAATAGTAAATGATTCGTCAGGATTGTAAATTTGATTCTTTTATTAATTGAATAGAACTGGCAGATACTTGATGAAAATTCATATTTGAACTAACTAATACACATTATTGTATGATTTTCACTATGAAGGGTTTTACAGAAACCACGACAAGTGTTTCGGTAAACAATAGCTCTTTCGAGCGTATAATACGCTAGTTAGTTTTATTCTTTTGTCGGTAGCGACTCTTAAAACTAACACCAAAAAGAAAAATAAGGCTAATTGCACACACACCCATTGTAGACGGCCGATTTTATACCGGTCGTCCAAATTCCAATAGTTAACCACATGTGGTAACGGGACCTGGCACACATGCTTACTGGTGATCGACGCCGATCATCGGTCGGCGTGTGTGCCAGGTCCCATACCCACATGTGGTTCACTATTGGAATTTGGACGACCGCTATAAAATCGGCCATCCAAAATCGGTGTGTGTGTGTGTGTGTGTTTAGTATAAGGGTAATTGTACACACACCGATTGTGGATGGCCGACTTCATACCGGTCGTGCGAATTCCAATAGTGAAACACACACCGATTTTGGACGGCCGATTTTATAGCTATAAAATTCATAGCATTTTTTTTGGTAGGTATATGAAAATTATCGTAATTTCCAAATGAAGGTTTTTTCCAGATTCACAGAAAAGTAGATGAAAATCCTTACGTTGTTATCATCGCCGTTACAATTTTTCATATTTTCTACAACCGTAACACATTAAAACTTAAAATCTAGGTTTCCTTCCGAATGGAAATGTCATAACGGAAAAAAACTTTACTATTCTAAATTGAGATATGAACCCTGATTTCCGCCTTTCGAAAATTCACTGAAGCCATTCCTGTGTAAAAGTACTAGTCGATGGTGCTTTGTCACATGTTGTCAAGCACATCGTAGTCGCAGACACAACACAATGGCGGGAACTTATCATGAAATCAAGTCAAGTGACGTTTTTCTGCAGGGATGTTTTATGGGATCTGCTGAGTGAAATGAGGAGGAAAAATAATATGGTCGCCGTCAAGAGGTCTCTTGAAACTTTTGTTCGGGAAAAATGGGACCTTCATTCCTCCGCTTGTGAGAGTCCTCGAACTTTCATAATCGAGATGTCGTGCTCGTATACCGAGTGATATCGGATACAGGATTATTCAGCGGGAGGGGACATCGTACAAATATATCATGTAAAATGAATAACTGAAGCTTTTATTTCTGCCATGTCATTTATAGTGGTGATTTTTAGCGCACTTTCTGTAACGGCGGGTTCGTGCGTACTTTCCGCGCGATTTGAGTGACATGGCCTCGTTCTGGCGCCTTTTAATACTGCGTGCAGATGACATATGTTCACTTTTCTTTTCTGTTGAAGTTTGTTGATATTTGGGTATTTCTATGGCTTCTAAATACATTCTTGTCGGATTAAAATTAGACGTTGCTGGCCTTTCGGTAATTTCGAAAAAGATCTTGGTATCCCGTCGGACAGTGCATGCTCTGCGACTGCAGACTTTTCGGTTTGTCCCAACCCAGTTGAACTCGACTAGGCGGGTACCAAACTGACCGTCTGTCCGATATAAACTCTACCACAGTTATATGGAATCCTGTAAACTCTTGCTGATTTGAGTGAATATCTGCTGTCTTTTGCTGATCTCAGATACTCCGATATTTTCTTCGTTGGTTTGAATATGGCGTTTGATTTTCTCCTCTTTAGAATTTTTCCGATTGTCTATCTGCCGCACATTGAAGATGTCACGAATCGAATCGGGAAAATTCTCAAGAGGAAATTAACACTGTCTCCAAACCAACAAATGAAGTATCTGAGATCAGTAAAAGAGAGCAGAGATCCACCCAAATCCGCGGGAGTTTACAGGATCCCATGTAATGGTGGTGAAGTTTATATCAATTGAATCAGGAGTCTTTTTTTTAAAAGGATGACCCCCCATCTAGTTGACAATTACAGACCCATTACGGTACTGTCAGTCATCAGCAAAATTGTTGAGAAATGTATCCACAGTGAAATGCTTTCCTTTCTGGATACATATAAAATTATCAATGATCACCAAAATGGTTTCCTGCCAGGTAGATCGAGTGCGGCTGTTTCACTGTCCAATTTCATATTCCTCCTGGATCAAAAAAAGTACGTGGGCGCACTTTTCTTCGATCTATCAAAGGCTTTCAATTCAATAAATACAAATGTTACTTGATCTAAATTAGAGAGTATTGGATTCCGTGGTAATTTATTGTCATGGCTGTCCTCATAATTGAAACATAGAAAAATATCAGTGAATATCGCAGGATGTAAATTTCCTCTGAAAGAAATGAAACTAGGTGTTCCTCAGGTTCCATATTGGGGCCGTTGATTTTTCCTGTGCCATATAAATGACATGCCACGTCACATAAATTCCAATAATATCATTCTATATGTGGATGACACGACAATAGCTACGGAGGCCAACTTTCTCGAAGAACTGGAGGATAAACTCCAAATTTTGACTGAAGAATTCACGTACTGGTGTCGTAGGAATTCTTTAATTATCAACTGCAGAAAAACGGTATGTATTTAATTCACCAATAGAGTAACGTCCTATGAGCTACTGAACACCTCTCTCAATATTGAGTATTCAGAACATACAAAGTTTTTGGGAGTATATCTCGATGAAGACATGAGCTGGAAAACCCACATTGATTATGTTATTGAAAAGTTACGTAGTAGTTACTATGCGATTCTACAGCTGAAGAATATTCTTTCTGCAGAACAATAACTAAGTGTTCACTATGCCATAGCTTATTGTCATATCTCATACAATGTATTGCTTTGGGGGAATGCAGTC